ATTTGCTTATTAAAAAATCTCATATTGAAACTGACCGCATCAACCTTTCGTTTACTTGCCCAATTATATTTATGTTTTATGCATTCATTAGTTATACTTGTACTTATATTAGTATGTGTTGATTTATTTTTGACGTCAGTTTCTTTTGTTATATCTATATCATCTATCATAGCCTGTTTTATATTCTTATGCTTTTTAAAATATTCTTTTGGCTGTATTTCTTCTACTATTTGCTGGTTTCTCCATTTGTTTTTAATGTGTCTTCTTTTCTTTTTACGTTTTGGTATATTATTTGGTATGTTGCAGTCACTGCTTTTCTCTGATTCAAATGTACTTACATCTATATATTTATGTTTCTCTATATCTCCTGGTGGGTTTTCCCAATCAGTAGTATCATTTTCAACATCATCACATTTTATATCATTAAACACATCTTACCAATGCCTACAATCTGCTGATGGTGGTACCTTTACAGTTGACCATCCTCTATTATTTTGTTGAGGCGGTTTATGTTGTTTATTGTTCTGTGTATTATTACTATTATGTTTTTCTTCTTGTTCCTTCATATATTCTTCTGTATCAGCTAATTCTTATAGTTCCTCTACTGTTTTATCCATCGGTGTATATTTTTTAATATCATCCTGACCACTATTATGTGCATAACGGATAAATGTATGCTGATCTTGGTATTCGTTTCGAATTCACCTTTGTATAAGTCCTCATATATATCCATGTTTTCATAATACATGAATTTATTTTCATAATCCTTCACCTTCATTGTGTATGGATTCCATATTATATGACCTTTACGGTTCTTATCAACATAGATAATATATAAACGATTGAGCGTTGGCTCTAACTCATATACTGATTTGTTTTTGTATAACATGTGCGGCATATAGTTACTATTCAGTATTATTGGCATATTTTTCTTTTTAGTTATTGACTTTGTGAATTTGCCATTAAGTTTTAACTGTGTTCCTTCTAACATTTGGTTTCTGTTTCTTCATTATACATAAAATCATAATCATCATCCTTATAATCTGACTAATCATTTTCTTTATTCATTAGATATGCTCGATGACCACCTTGTTCTAATACATCAATGTTATATGTCTTACCTACATTTGATGGACCTACAATCCAGTATTGTGGTATCTTATTTTTACCACCAAACATTGTTTCAATACCAAACATAGACCACATATGTAATTTATTTCCAGGGTTATTTTCCATATCTGCATCATGAAAGTAAGAATTTAAATTTGATTTTACAGTATCATATTTCCATAGCAATTCTGGATATATTTCAGTAGCCTTCCACATATTAAGCTGCTTAGTAATTAACTGATATCCAAGTAACTGTTGGTGCATTTTTCTGGTTCTAATTTCATAATTTGATCCATATCATAACAAATATAATCTTTTCCTTTCATACAATAGCTAATAGACTTTTGTGGATTACCACCTGGTTTAATATTTGGACTAACACCATCAATAGTAAAGAATTTACGTGCTGTTTTTGTGTCGAACCGCTCATCCATTTGTATCCATATGTGTACATGTTTCTCATTGGTTTCTGGTGCAATTTCATCACATGCAATTGCCTTTTCAATTCGATAACCAATACGTTCATGTTTTATAAAGCATTCCATGATTTGCTCTTTTGTTAAATGGAAGTCCTTATAAATATATGTGAACAGCCCTTTAGTATTTTGGAATCGGAATTCTTTGCCGCCCTGCAAGGAATCTACACCAGAGGTGTTACCCTCTAACATTGCATCGGAAAATTGAGGATTTGAGGATTTGAGGATTTGAGGATTTGAGGATTTGAGGAACTCACATATTCTCGGATTCTTCTAATTATTTTATTGCGTGCATTATCTTTAGTTTTTTTATCTACTTTAGCCTGTGTAAGGTCTTTTTCGAGTTCTGACCTCAGTTGTGTGACAAGAGGCTCATACTCAATATGCTGATGGTTTTCAGCAAGGTGTTCTGCTCTTTCAATTAAGAGCGTCAATATAACTCCTAAAATAGGAACAAATTCAGCCATAATGGCTAAGAATGCGAGAAGGTTGAGTTGGTTCATGTCGATTGTTGAAGTAATAAAGATAAGAAATATAACAAATATATTTTGCTTTATATTCTGTGGTGTTATTTTTATATTTACAAAAAATTCAATTTTTATTTTTTTCAAAAATTTAAATATATGCATGCCAAGACATTCGTGCATGAATTATTTCAATAAAAATTAATTTGGCTATCCTGACATATCTTAGCTAATAAGCTATCTAGGGTTACTAGATTGCATTAAAATCATCATAACTATGGCCGGTCCCCTTTGTTTGTTGTAAGGAACGCGAGCTTTTACTCACAAACTCAACGTTTTTTCATTCTGCAGGCTTGTCGAAAGCAATTGCTCCATTTGCTCTGATAGTCCTCTTCAATATCACTGTACTCGGCAATAAACGAGCAGTTCTGTTTAACATAGGACTGTAGTGTAGCATTGGTGTTCGCTTCTAAGTAATTCAGTGCATCTTTACAAATGGATTAGTTGAGTAGGAATGCTAAGGCCCGAATACGCTTACTTTGAAGCAGAGGATTTGCTGTTTCCATGGTGATGTCACTGTTGCTGTTAGTTACCAATGGTGTCTGTGAACAATGCTGCGTGTTTGGATCGTAATTTGATTTTTACTATTTATGACGCTTCGCAGTCACACGTTACAAACGTGATTTGACGCAATGTGGTTTACATATGCAGTCAGTGAAACCATTTTCTTGTAACTCTTTGCCTGTGTGCCGTTTACTCTTTTTCATCTATCTTTCAGTCCTCTAAGGGGGCTCTCTTGTGGATAAATGCCGCTTGATCTCCCAAGTGGTTATTGATGCATACCTAGAAGGGCAAACTTTGTGCTTTCAACGTCCCTCTCAATCTCTGGAATTAAACTTTTCAACTGTTAACCAACTATTATCCTTTACACTATATCCAACCTACTTAACCTCAAATATATACTTATTATCAGTATACACATGTCCTACAATCTTCTCAATTTCATATGAATTACTATGTTCTATATTTCTCTGTTCTCTTTGATTTTTTCTCTTGCGTTTAGATGTATTATTTTCAGTTTCGTCCTCACTATCTATAGCCATATCTATTGATTGATTAATGTTAAGCTGTAGAAATTTCTGCTGCATGTCAACCATTTCGTTATATTCAGTATTCACTTTTTGCTCATCTGAAAATACTAAGTCAAGTTTGTTTTTCTTACTTGGGAATTCACAATCTTTTCCATACCATAATTTATGATGTGGTTGTACCTCTATATTATACTTATTTACAAATCGCCATATATTAGTAAGAATACAAGCAACACGAAACTGAATACTATAATATCTTATATCAGTTATTTGCAGTGCTGCACGATTATTATTAAATCGTTCAAATTTAGAGCCTAACATAGAGAACTGTGCTTCTATTGCTGAGCGAAATGATCCAAACTTGTTATAACGTATGTCTCATTGATTGTTAACTTTTGTCCTGGTTCTTTTCTTATAGGATGTAAAAAATTACGATCATAAAAACTATATACAGCATCTGTCGCATTATCTTTAAACTTTTGTATAAATAATTTATATCTACCATCCATTCCTAAACAATCTGCCTCACTTATTTTTTTATATAGTTTCATATTAATAAACATAGTACCATCATTTCTGATAGCCCATTTTTCAGATACTGAAACATGTGTAATTATTTCATTCATATCCTGTATAAGTTGTGTACGTCTAGCTGGCCTTTTTAATTTATATGAATATAATTGTGAATGTGACTCATTTGGTTTATTATACTTTATTTTACTATCATGTTCATCAATAAATAGTGTAACATGCTTAAAACCATCTGGATTGTTTATTATTGCTGATAGAATGCGAATACGTGGTGATGAGAACATACTATCTAGATCTTATTTTACCTTTTTATTCAATTCATTATAGTTAGTAATCCAGAACCGCTTATATAAGTCATAAAATGTTGCATATGGCATAATAGTATGCATATCCTTTCCTGATACACCTGATACTATATGATATAATAATGCAAGTCCTTTTTCAATCTCGCGGTATGGCCCTGGATATTCAATATTTCCATATAAAACTGTAAGAAAATAAAATACAGGTATAAATCCAAATCTATTAAGTAATACATCCTTTATATCATTTATTGTATTACTCTTCATATCTTTAATAGCTGTTCTATGATTAAATCTATGTTGCATTTCAGGCCAAGATTTATCAAGAAAAGTCCATTTATTATCAATTAAATTTTTAATTTCAATATCGAGTTGTTTAGTGTGTTGTGTTGTATTATGTTCGACGGATATTTTGGGATATTTGTTTATCCAAAACTTTTTTACATATTTATAGTTATTTTAAATTTTTTGTTATGATTATAAATATATGTAACATCAAGAAACCAATATTATATTTATGGATGAAAAAAAATATTTCATTTATTTTTTATTTGCTCAATTAAGAATATCCATCTTCATTTTTATTTTTGTTATATACTTTAAACAATCGCTCTTTTTTTTCTCATGGGAGGCTACCGATATAAATAAAAAAATTCAATTTTTATTATTTTTATTGTAAATCATAATTAATTCAGCCACTGATGGTTATACCGATCATAGTAATTCTATTATCTACATTACAGCTAGTAGATTATAATTGGTTAGACAACTAATAGTAGGACGCCAAACTACTAATACAAAACTCAAATCAAGCAAAAGGAAACCTGAGCTGGGGGAAGTTGCTGTGGCAATTCTTAGCGTGCACAGAACGCGAGTAAGCAGCTCCACCACTACTCCTACTACCTCCTTTGCCGCGCCGCAAGCTCCACTACTACTTCAACCTCATCCGCAGATATTCCAGAAAAACTGAGCGTAGAGGATAAGAAGAAAGTCGCAGATCTGTACGCGTCTTTCCAGAAGAACAAGATGTGGAAGTTGAAGAGTGGGAAGTTTGTCGAGGAGCAAATGGCGAAGTTGGTAACGAAAGCCGAATTCGAACAGTAAGTCTACACGGCAATCAATGATGTACACCAGATTGATATTAATCTCTGTCTTGTATGTCCTTTGAAAGTCCTGTTCACTTGTAATCTTTGATCCCTCGGACATCGCGTAGAAAGAATATTTTGACGACGATGAACTCAAGGAAATCCGCGGATTTCGTGCTCCAAAGGTGCCATCTCTGAGCATTGTTGAACCTTAAAAAATTCGTAAGTTCTTAACTTACGAAGTGCTTCTTTTTATGGTTCTTTTCAAAGAAGAAAAAGGTTATGAATTCTCAACCAAAATTTTAATTTTGGTATTGCAGAATTCACAGATAATTGTTTTTCCATAAAAAATTTTTAATTTTTTGTCTTGGCAAAAACTATTATCCGAAAAAAATGATTATTTTTTTCAAAGAAATTAAAATTAATTAATTAATTTTAATTTCGAAATGATATATCTTTTTAAAAAATTAACTTTAAAGATTTTTATTTATTAATGATGCTCTCTACCTGCAGAACTTGAAGAATTCGCTGTATTATTTGGAGAAAAAGTGAGGAAATTTTGTCACAGTACCCTGAATCAGAATATTGAATTAACCTTTTTCCTTTTCTCTTGCTTTTGCTAGAACAACTTGTGTGATATTTACGATCATGCCAACTCGTACAAAGTCGACTTATAGCAGGCAGACCTTTGTTGGATACGGTTATCAATAATGCTGTCCATGCGTTTACTGTTCCACAAATATTTTGACAAAGAGCATTCAGAGTCTGATCTCCTGAAGTGTGCATGGGAGTTTTTAGACAGCTGCTTTGATGCATCTGAGTTTATTACTGCTATCAGGTATATATAAAAACATCTGGACTAAAAATAATCAGGAAGACATATTCAAAACAATCAATAGTGGGGGAAAGGCCAGCAAAGCGACATCAAAAGCTCAGAACCAAGAGCACTTAATTGGTTCCGTGGAAGCCACTTCACGTAAAAAAGTTGGCACAAAAGTTGACCTTTTGTACAAAGCACCGCTGATGGAGTTGGGCGCCATCGAAGTTGGTGCGTTTAATGATCGAAGCAGCACTAAATCAATTATGGAGTTGGGCATGAAATGCCTGGAAAACATTGAAGGATATACTGGTCGATCTTGAGTGCACCAACTTCACTCAGCTACATAACATGTGGACTTGTGGCTACATCCTTTCTGGTAGGTACAAACTAGTGGTGTAGTGAAATTCAAATAAGGTGGTTAAGGTCTGTTGCCTAGTTTGTTGGATAATATGCTTACATACATCTCTTCGAAACAAAATTGATAGGCCTTTATATGCAGTTTCTAATTGCCGATTGTCCAGAAGGATATGTATGCAGACTGACCAAGCTTGAGAACTGGGCACCATACCCCACTTGCGGAAAGAATTTTGTTTGTGACTTTTTTTATTTGCTGGAATTAGCGTGGGCCCGCAAAAGTATAATGGAAGAAACTAGAGTTGCTGCAGTAACAAAGACAAACCGAAAGCACGGATCGTTTCATCCATCAACCATCCAACCAATTCTAAGCCATTCCTTCTACCATACCAAAAAGACGAACGCGAAAAAAAGAAAAGTCGATAGCGAACTCACCCTTGACGATCAACCCGCAACAGTTACAGATAAAGCCATACATGGTTTTCTGTACATATTGAATATTATACAGGATTTTTCATCTCCTAGCGGACGTTTGAACTTTTATTTAGGCAGAAGGGATTTAATTTTAGGCAGAGTGGACATGAATGTTAATCTAAGTAGACATGAATAAAAGTTAATCTAGACATGAATAATAAATGATCTGGACATGAATGAAAATCGAGCTGGACATGAGTGAAAATTGGGCTGGACATGAATGAAAATCGATCTAGACATGAATGAAAATCAAGCTGGACATGAATAAAAATCGAGCTGGGCGAATGAACAATATCTATAAATTTTGTTATGAATAACAAATTTTATGATATTATTCTATTCTAGTCAAGCTCCGTTCATTTCATTACTCCGGGCGTCGAACTAAAGTTCTAGCCTAGAAGAGGGGGGTTTGCTCACTACCGTTGCACCACTTAGAGTGTTTTAAACATAATGGTTAAGATTAACCCTATTGGTTGAAAATCTTATAGTGTTTAAGAAATTATTTTTTTAATTAAAAAAAATTAATTTCATGATTTATTATAAACACTTAAAAATTATATTACTTATAATTTTTTACATATTTATAATTTCACTAAAATCATAACTCTAAGAGTTATCCCCCCTAGACATGAATAAAGATCGATCTGGACATGAATATAAAACGATCTAGATATGAATATAAATCGACCTGGACATGAATATAAATCGATCTGGACATGAGTAAAATCAATCTGGACAAAATAAAAATCGATCTATACATGAATGAAAATTATTCTGGACAAGAATAATAATCAATCTAAACATGAATAATAGACAACCTGGACATAATAACAGTCAACCTAGACATAGTTTTAGTCAACTAAGATATAATAAAAGTTGAAGTAGATAATATATTAAGTGTAGCAGAGCAGAATATTTGAGTACTTAAGATTTTCAATTCAAGTCAAGACATAATAGAAGTTAAGCAGTACAAAGCCAATGTCAAGATGTAGTAGTATGGCTGTTTCACTCGTGACAAGAAGCTTGTAGGCTGATGTACAGGAAATAGCAAGGGTGCGGCAGAAACTCACTGTGCACATAAGCCTATTTTGCTGCTGTGGGAACAGGGCCTGAGCGTTTCCCCTCATTTCTTTTACCCAGGTTGAGTTTGAAACAGATTAGAGGCTGGTTAATTTCTCAAACCCTAAATAATTCTTAGCTAAGATGATTATTCTCAATCATTAAGTCTAAATCACTCTAAGTAGCGCAACAATAGTGAGCAAATCCCTCCTCTAAGCAAGGAACACCTGGACACAGCTTAGCTTGACTATGAAAGGAATAACTAAAATTTATTTACTGTTTATAGTAAAATTAATTGTTATGGATTGAGCCTCTATGGTGCCCAGTCCTCAAGCTTGGTCAGTCTGCATACATATCCTTCTGGACAATCGGCAATTAGAAACTGCATATACAGGCCTATCAATTTTGTTTCGAAGAGATGTATGTAAGTATATTATCCAACAAACTAGGCAACAGACCTTAACTACCTTATTTGAATTTCGCTACACTACTAGTTTGTACCTACCAGAGTGGGTACTGCATTACCTTATTGGTTATAAATTAATATTTGTTTTATTAAAGAACTATTAATTTTTTATATCTAAATTGAATTTTATAATATAAATAAAAAATGGAGCAAATAGATTATACAACATTAATTACAGAGGAAGTAAATACTATTATTACTAATTATTGGACATTTCTTGAATGGAATTGGCCTATTATGCATAATAAATTCAAACATAGAACACAAATAAAACATATTAAATTTATTTGAAAAATTAAAGATATATTATTAAAAAAATTAGGTTATACAGCTGTATTTTTTTCTTAGTTGTACTATACACAAATAAAGAGTATCCAGCTCCTTATTTTGAATTAAAAAAAGGCTTATTTTTATTATATCATTTAGTTTCGGGTATTTCTAGAGATGAAATTGAAAAATATTTACCTCAAAGTATATGTCATACATTTTATAAAAAATTTTGGATGAATGAAGAGAATTATAAAAGAATTAATAAAATAGTAAATGATTCATTAATATATATGTTTTCAAATATAAAATTACGTGTTTTGTCTACAAGAAAATATAATCCAGATTTATTTAAATATGTAACACTTATTTTGGATAGTCATGATTCACGAATTAATTATACAGATACGGATTTAGATAGATCAAGTTTATATTCATATAAATTTAAAAAGAATGGTGTACACACACAATTTGTAGCTGATATTAATGATATGATAATTTTTATATCAAAAAGTGAATTCTGTGTAGATAGTTCTGATGGTAGCATGTTTTTAAATATGAAACTTTATAATAAAATGAATCAAAATGATACTTTAGCTATTGATGGTAGATATACTTTGTTCATAACACAGTTTACTGAACTTGCTACAGAAAAAGGATATGATTTTAGTAATGATAACTTTGTATATCCAATTCGTAAAAATATAAATAAAGATTTAACTATTACTGAAGAACATTTTAATAATACATTTAGAAGCTTTAGAAATAAAATCGGAAATCAATTTTCTAAAATTGGAAATAAATTTTATTGTTTTAATAATAATAAATCAATTGTAAAGATGGATAATATTAAATATTATAATCTTCAGTTCCATGTTGCCTGTTTATTAAAAAATATTACAAAGTTTGTAGAAGTATTTAATATACCTATTTCACCATATCATAAAATATGGCATAGTCCTGATTTTGATTTTCCTATTGAAAAAAAATTAATTGACATAGTTGTTAGTAATAATAAACAAAATAAGGATAAGCTTGATAGAATGGTACAACTACAAAATAATTTATCAAATATGACATTATCAAATAATAATGAAATGGTTATAGATGATAATAATAGTGAATTAGATGATTTAGAAAATAGTGAAAATGATAATGATATTCCTAATTTTAATGAACGTACTAGAAAAAGAAGAAGAAATGTAAAAGGAAAACAGCGTTCAACTGTATCATATGACATAGAAAGTATTATTGGACATAAAAAAGAAAAGAATGTATATTTATTTCAGGTAAAATGGGTTGGATATAGTAATAATGATAATAGCTGGTTATCTATTAATATGTTTAACCAAAAAGAATTAGTAAATGCATATATTGAAAGGAATAGTCTAGGCATACTATAATAAGAACATAATATATATTAAAATTATATAAAAAAATTGTGGAAGAATATTATTAAAGCATAAGAATAAAGGATTACTAATAGTAATTTTTATAGGTTTTCTTTTTTTTTAATTTTTTTTTCTGTTTTTTTTCAGGCTTTATATACAGCTCTTTTATCTCTATATTTTTAACACTATCATTAACTACTAATAGCTTTTTTTTTGGAATATGTAGCTTACTATATTGACAGCAACGAAAATCCTTTTTACCATCAGGTAAATTTGTCTTGATTTTCTTCCCACAAAACTGTCCATTACGTTTTCCTTTTTTAAATTTATAGCTACAAAAACCATGATTCATAGACAAATCTAAGAAGTGATCATTTGAAAAAAGAGATTTTATTTTATTTTTTAAATTTTTTTGAATTTTTTTAAAATATTTTCTTCAACAAAATGATTGAATTCTGAATCAATAAATGTATCAATTTCGTTACATAAGTTGATTCTAAGATTAATGTGGTTGATAGGAAGATATTCATTTAACGCAACCATTTTCTTTTTCTTTTGAATGATCTATTTTTATATAAAAATAAAATTCAATTTTATAAAAAAAAGTAATTGAGTTTGAAATTTATTTATTAGCAAATACTAATGGTGATAACTCTGCAACATTATTACATTTAAATTATTTATATATTCTGAATTCATTATTGATAGGTTTATTTCTTTTTAAGATAAAATTTAATTTATAACCATTTTAAATTTTTGTTACAACAAAAAATTTATTACCAATAGTTTTTATATAAAAACAGTTGGTAATGCATATGCGCCAGAAAGGATGTAGCCATAAGTCCACATGTTACGTAGCTGAGTGAAGTTGGTGCACTCAAGATCGACCAGTTATCCTTCAATGTTTTCCAGGCATTTCATGCCCAACTCCATAATTGATTTAGTGCTGCTTCGATCATTAAAGCACCAACTTCGATGGCGCCCAACTCCATCAGCGTGCTTTGTACAAAAGGTCAACTTTTGTGCCAACTTTTTTACGTGAAGTGGCTTCCACGGAACCAATTAAGTGCTCTTGTTCTGAGCTTTTGATGTCGCTTTGCTGGCCTTTCCCCCACTATTGATTGTTTTGAATATGTCTTCCTGATTATTTTTAGTCCAGATGTTTTTATATATACCTGATAGCAGTAATAAACTCAGATGCATCAAAGCAGCTGTCTAAAAACTCCCATGCACACTTCAGGAGATCAGACTCTGAATGCTCTTTGTCAAAATATTTGTGGAACAGTAAATGCACGGACAGCATTATTGA